TTTCTAAAGTGCATAAACTTTTGGGATCGACTGTATAGCCAATACATCCTTAATACTTTAAAAGCGTGACGTTTATCACAGTAGGACTGCTACCGAGAGGCGCGTTATTTATGTTGGCGATATAAACGCGAGAGGATCCATCGTTCCATTCGCACGTGGTCAGCGGCGGCGCACGGATAAAAAGGATCCTCTCGATTTATTCTTAGTAAGATAGAAAGAGAGGTGCGGCCTACGTATCACGCAGCACGCATCGGGAGTCACGCAATCTGCACGCGAGGACCGCGTGCAACCCTCGAGGAACTTGTACACACGTGCATCCCGTATTAAAGACCTCGGAGAACCGCGCTTTACTTCCATACGCGTTAACTTAGATTCCTAGACCTGGCGAGGTCTTTAACCGACGTTATAAACCAAACCATACACGTGCAGATATTCCGAAGGCTGTTTCCGATTATTTTTAGATTCTTTTGCCTTTTTTTAATCGAACGGTGCACGCGTACGACGGAGCCAAGATTTGCGAATCACCTATAGCGAGTTCGTCGTGCACGTTAAAAAGTTCCACTGTTGACTGTCTTAGAATCGTAAATTAATTCATTAGCACATTTTTATCTACTCGCTTCCTGGACAACAAAGTTTACCGTCGCGTGATCGAGCGTTTTGAATAAAGAAACGAGGCCAATGGAAAGTTTTCAACAGTTCCGGCAACACTCGTAAACCGGGAAGGTAGACGAAAACAAGAATCTAAAAAGAGTCGGGACCGAACATAGACGACGCATAAATTTTTCAGCCTTTGCGAAACCGTCGATGAAAAGATTTCGCAATCCCAATATCTCTGAATCGCGAGACTCCACGCGTCGTATTTGTACCCGGGAAACAACCTTTCCGTCGCAATTAAGCAATCGTCTTTAATCAATATTAATTGTACGTGGGTCGTTCGTTACCGCTCGAGGGTTTTGTCTCTCTTCGTTAATAGCTACCGTGACTGTTGACGAGAAAGTACTACCTCGTAAACAGGGTTGCAGACGAACGATTGAATCTGTCGTTCAATTGTACGTCGAGTCACAGTAGCAAAGAAATATTCGGGCTACGTAACGAGATCTGAAAGAGACGATTGTCTACGTTTACACGTGCATTTGTGTTGTACGAGGAATCATTTCCGAAAGATCAACGATTCCTTTGTTTGAATTATGTATGAGATAAACCGGTTGCTACGAAAGGGTCAATGGTACCGCTCTGTTGTGCTCCACGAACAACTCATCTGTCGTTCGTGGCTTTTGTACATTTCTCCATTTAGATCTTGGCGCGTTTTACGCCTTGCACAAAGGCGAGTCATCTCCTACTTTAATTCAATCATTACGCCTTTAAATCAGCATAACATTTACATCATTCCCATTTTTTCCTCGCTAGTGTCGGTAGAAAAAAACAAAGGTCGAGGTCTGAAAAATGATTCACTCGCTTATCGGTCGGGTCATTAGTGTTTGCATTTTGTTAATCTATAAGTGAAAAGCTCGGTGACGTTTATTTATTTCTTTATGATGAAGCTTGTTTTTTCGAAACGGCTTACAAGCATCGACGAATCTTGGATAAATTCTTGCTAAGAACCGAACGTAACAATGCCAGTACGAAGTTAATTTTCTTTCGACGTTAGGAGCGATTCGAAACTTTCGAACGACACTGTATGTACACACAATGCGTGTTGTGAAACGTGTCGGGTAATTTACCGGTTTCCTCTCAATCACCATTTACGGAAAGCATGTAGGACACATTTTCCATTGAATGCGTTGGCTCGAGATCCTCCAAGGTCTCTCGATGCCATCAACGCTGGAATCCGTCAAAACCGACACGAGTCTCTAATGCATAAAAATTAATATAGAAAATGGCAGTGTTAACAATGCTACGATAAAAACAGATAATCGAGATATGCTGTTACGAGTCGACTCTTTAGGCGTAATACTTTTAATTGTATTGGCTATACGAGTTATCCAGTCTTATCGCGAAACCTGTCGAATATTAAAATTAATTAAAATCGTACTGAACTCCGGGTACACATGGATAACTAATTCCTAAATTGGGGGAATTCCACGTACGAGCCTTTTTCATTACACGAAATGAATGGTGATTACTGGGCCTTGTGAGCGAGATTTCATCCAAGGGACTGTTGCAACATCGAATTCTCCGCACGCGACGTGTTTCGTTATTGTTTCGCGAGATATGCAAAAATGTTCCACTGACCCATATTCTTCGATTGGAACGTATCGTCCGATCGAGAATCGAGTTCCTCTCAATGATTGATAAGATCGTATCGAATATCATTTCGAATCGCACGTGAAACTTTTTTATACGAACCAACAACGACGTCTCTCTCGATCATTCCGCACGCGTCATTATTGTTTCTATTTATAATTTGACTGAGGAAAGAATTCGCTTCACGTACTCGGATACCCTTCGCGTTTATTAAATTTAATTAATCCACGTGAGATTCATTGCTGCGTATTTTTATGCATTTCAGATAGACGCTTCTTCTAGCCTTGAAACAGTCTATTATCACTGCCACGAGAGAGCATATCTGCTCATCTCTCTCTTTTTGTTTAATGCTGCCCGTGTCGTCGTCATTACTCCGACCTACGTATTCCACTGTCTCTAGCGAAACAGGTATGCACTCTCGTGACTCCGATTATATTCGTCCTTTTAATATCGTTCTGTGTCTCTTTCGTCACTGTAATACGAAGTCGATCCGGTGCAGATTCGACACGGATTATTCTCTGATGTTTCTCAGATATTTTAGTACACACAAATTCAATTTGACACAGTCATTAGCTCCCGTCGAAGACAGACACTGTATCAATATGTGCTTTCTGCAGAAACGCGTTAACACGGAACCGTGAAGTCATCAGCGGTCGTTGCGTAATGCGTGTGAAATTTACGAGCCGTTGTTTTATGCCAGAATTTTGAAATCGATCATACGTGTATACGATCCGGTGCGACGGTGTTTCAACCTTGGTTCTAAAATTCACGTGTCATTCGCGTGAGAACGGACGACGCGTAACGTTTAACGAGGGGTCCTTTTCGTACGTCGAGCCGACGTGTAATTTTCCAATTGCTTTCTAGGTGGTACGCGTATGGAAATGAACGGCTTCGCTCCGCGAGGCGCACCCCTCGGGCAAGATTTAAAGGAAGCCATGAAAGCAATTAATGGTTGATTGTGCCCGGTGCTACGTTAATGACGGTATCAACCGATTCACGGGAAAACAGGATATATTCTCACGTACGCAATTCATGGCTCGCCTGATACAGACGATCAGCTAATTGGTCTGATTAAACGAGCAGGCGTGCGTGCGTATACGTGGGCAACGGACGCTCTAGCAATTGTGCTCGGAGTATCATTTTCATGTATGTTTGTACAACGCGCGGGTAAATAAAACAGCGGCTAAAATTAAACCTGCGATACTTTGAACATCGCTCGAGTGATTCTCGAGGGGTCCGCTACGTGTCATAATTGATTAATAATAAATATGCTTCGGGTCTCGAACATCGAAGATGAACTGTTCGTCATCGACAGCCTGTAGATTACTAAAGACATTCGCCTCTTAAGGATGTATTGGCTATACAGTCAATCCTAAAAGTTTATGCACTTTAGAAA